GTGCGCCTGTCAGCTCAGGGATGCTCACCTATTCAGGCTTTCACCAAGACCGTAAAACACACATAGCCTTTTGCCGAGAGAGTCTTGCCTCCAGATCTTGGTCACGTCGAGGTTCTGAGTCCTTGCCCCATGAGGTCATCAACGTGGTTCCCTTGGATTACAGATCCATATCCTGCTCCGGAGATGTGACTCGCTTGGCACATCCAGACTCCTGGACGTGCCTGTGGTATTTCCATTTTCTTCTAAGTGCCAGTGTTTCATAGTTTCCTAAACCCAACCTCAGCCCCTCCTACTCCCATGCCCAGCCCCAGTACAAATTTGAAAGTGTATTTCTGGGAATGATCATGCCTGGTTCATCTTCGAACTCCCAGGTCATAGTACCGTACCTACATATAGATGTTTATGTGTGCTACAGATAGCAAGTTAAAAAGTCTCTCTCTCATATGCCCAGATATTGATTCCAAATACCATTTTCTAACAAAAGAAATCAGAGCTCTGTGGAAAGTAAGTAAAACTTAAGATGAGTCTGGGACATGTCATCATGCCAGAAAGTAAGGACATGCTAAGAACAAAAAAAAAAGGGGTGGCATGTCCAAAGTGGCCAGGAGCCAACCTGCAAGAGCTCCCAATGGTCAAAGCTGGAGGTATAGGAGCCAAAAAAAAAAAAAAGGTAATATTGGATTATAATCTAAAGTATAAAATAAATACCCTTGTGCCCATACTGATATAAATACTGAATAAATAAATAAATGGGCAACTTTTCCTAACAGAAGGATTCCAATTAATAGATGTGGAAGGAAGGGGTGCGCCTGGGTGGCTCAGTCAGTTAAGCATCCAACTCTTGATTTTGACTCAGATCATCGTCTTGGGGTCATGAGGTCAAGCCCTGCATCAGGCTCCATGGTGGGTGTGGAACCTGCTTGAGATTCTCTCTCTCCCTCTGCCCCTCACTTCTCCACTCTCCCGCACACGTGCTCTCTCTCCCTAAAAAAATGAATGAATGGATGAATGTAGAAGGAATGAAGAAAATAGAAAATCTCCACCAGACCAACCACAGTAATAATTGAGGCATATATGCTCCAACAATTAAAATCAGTGGGGAAAATTTAAGGAAAAACAAGATATTTGCATAATCTTAAATTAGCTCCCCTGCCCCTAAATACATGAATCACTGAGAGAAAAATAGTAACTTCACAGTGAAGAACTCTGACAGACACCACCTTAACCAAGTGATCAGGGTTAACTCACCAGTAATAGGATATGCTAACCTCACGTACTCCCCTGTTACAGTACACTGAGAAGGACCCGTCACGTCTGTGGTATTCTTCCCCTAAATATGTAACCTTCATCTAATCCTCAGAAAACATCAGACAGATCCAAGTTGGGAGCCAGTCTAAAAAATAATCAGTCCTTTTTCAAAAGTGTCAAGGTCATGAAAGACAGGAAAGGCAAAGACCATCACAGGTTGGAGGGGACATGACTACCGAACAAGGTGTGTGATCCTGGATTAGATTCTAGACCCGAAAAAGGACACAAATGTAAAAAGCTGGTGAAATCAAATAAATTCTGTAACTTAATCATCGTGCTGAGGTTGATTTCTTAGTTTTGGTCCTTGTACTGGGGTCGGGTAAGATGTTAGCATAGAGGGAGCTAGGCCGGGCGGTCAGGAACTCTGCATTCCCTCTACAGCTCTAAGTCTAAAATTAGTTCAAAATAAAAGTTAAAAAAAAAAAACAACAACAAAACCTACTGACAAATGGCCTATGAAGTGTTAAGACAAATAGTAAAATATAAAGAGGATCTGGAAGCTCTTAGAAGGCTACCAGGGCAGGAAGCAGCATGCCATGGAGAAAAGGATTTTTTGGAGCCAGAGAAGTTACGGTGGCAGCGGTGGGTCTGGAAAGTCATGGAGAAAGTTCCACCGACGTAGCATGGAGGGAGCCAGTACTTTCTAAGTGCTTCACACATCCTACCTGGTTGAGAAATGGGATGGTTTGACGCATTGCACCTGGGAGTCCGGTTGTCACAATTTGTGACTAACAGAATATAAGGAAGGGGTGAAAGAGAAGGAGCAAGAGAGGAGGACTCCTAGGTTTTTAATCTGAGCAACTGTGTGTGTGGTGGTGACACCATTCATTCCTCTGGAAAGGAGAATGGCTTTGCTGGGGACGGGGAGGGGAGAGAAGCAGGTCAGTTTGGGGCAGGTTGGTTCCAAGGTGCCTGGGTGACACCCAGGTGGGCATGCCTGGAAGGCAGAGGAGTACCTTACAGCTTCAGAAAGTGATCCTCAGAGAGGTGATGGCTGGAACGTAGAAGTAGGTGGAACACCCAAGAAGAGGATGTGAGATCAAGAGAGAGGGGAGGGGGCGACGCACGGAAGACTGAGGAGTCCCCATCAGGATGCGGAGATGCAAAGTGTACCAAGAAGTCGGGGGAAGTGGGGTGTGTGGGAAGCCAAAGAGAACCAGGAGGGCATGAGATCCCAGGAGCCCCTGCGCTGGGGAAGGGGGATGAGACTTTCAGTAGTGTCAGAGGCCACAGCATAGGAGGTCATCGGAATCGACACTGGTGGCCTCAGAAGGGAAAGCTGGTGGAGAGGTCGGGGTGGGACCCGGCTTGTCCCTCAGGGGGGCATCTTCAGTGGTGGGGGAGCAGACACAGTGCCAAATATTCTTTGGAGAAACTTTGCTGGGAAAGAGGAAGAGAGCAAAATAGAGGGGAAGTCGAGGTTGGAGGGGTCACCCCAAACTCCATCTCCAGACTGACTCCTCCCAGGAGCTCCCGATGCATATTTTCACCTGCAAACTGGTTCTCTCCACCTGGTTATCCTGCCTGTAGCTTTTTAATATGTGCGCCCAGCCATCTACCTACAAAGGGTCTAAACTGAGGTTGACAAAAGCAGCGTCACCTTTTCAACAGGAAGGTTGAGATCTGAAATAATAATCGAATGTGACTGCCCCGTGCCTGACTCAGGACTCCACGGACGTGATGCTAGGTGGTTCTGGAACCACGTGCAGAGGCAAGATTACCTCATGACCAAGTTCCATCACTCCGTGACCACGTTCCACCCTTGCCCTGAAAGCCCCACCCAGAGCATTTTGAGACACTTTTAGATCCTGACAGGAAATTTGCTTGGGGAGGTAAAAGCTGCAGTCATTGAAAGAGACGCTCAGTTGAGGCTCTCAGCTTTTCCACACAGACATGTGCCAAAGCCTTTTCCCCCGCCCGTGTTGAGCTGCATTTACAAGCCTTTAAATATTCACACTGGCTAATACTGATGTTTGAGTACCATATCAGTTTAGCTTCCTAGAAATGACTAGATTTTATAACATTCATTCATTCAGTACACATTGATTAAGTGCCTGACCACATGTGGCAGGCAAACTGCAAGTACTGGAGACGCCTGGATACATTAAGTACGATGTGGTGTTTCCTGCCCTTGAGGAGTCCACAGACATTTCCCGGAACAGCTACAAACAACATGGAATGTCATAGAATAAAGGCATGTATATCATACACACATCTGTATGTGTGCGTGTGTCTATCCGGGGGAACACAGGAGGTGCACGACCATCACTTCTAGATGTGATTGTTGGAGGTACAAGAGGCAGGCACGCTCTACGGACCCCAAGATTGGTTTGCCCTGCCGGAGCGGGGGCGAAGGGCCTGAGGCAGGAGGAACAGCATGGGCGGAAGTATAGAGATGTTAATAGGTGTGCGTGGTAACGTAGCAATGGTATTCACAAAAATAATAAAACCAGTACTCGTGAAAAGGATGAAAGACATTGACAGGGCACTCAATGCGTGTCAGGCATGATCCTAGGCACTTTACGTTGCACAAGCCATGCATGTGAGAGAGTCCGGAGCTGAGGCTGAAAGATAGTTGGGGGTCACTTGAGGAAATGTCCGAATGCGGTGCTACAGGGCCTACCTGGGTCCCCCCGGCAGGGGAGAGCAAGCACTGGAAAGACTAGACTTGGGTTTTGAGGAGGCTCCTCTGCTGGTGCCGTGCGCTGGGGGCAGTGAGCCGGGAGGCACAAAGGTGAGGCCGGAAGCTGTTTCAGGAGTTCAGACAAGTGAAAATGGCAGGGAGGATGGATGCAGGAGACAATGTGGGCAAGAAGAAACGAGCCCTGGAGGCCCCCCACATATCTGGGGTCACAAGAAAGAGGACAAGAAACATCTTTGGAAAAGTAGATGAGCTCAGCGTGAGGTGCGTGCAGCTGAGTGGGCAGCTAGGAATGGAAGTCTAGAACTTGGAGCAGAGGTTTGGACGAGAAAGAAAACGGGGAACAGTTGAGGAAAAGTCCAAATTCACTCAGGCTGAATTTGGCCTTTCAACACTAAGATCACGCCTGAATTTGCCTTTCTCCCCCTGGAGGCCTTATATTTCCACAGGAACACTGAAGGGGAACATACCTTCCCAGAGACAACACACCTAGACACGCAGAAGCCGAACATCACAGAGGCACATGTTCCCACATACTCGCACCTGACCTAGAGAGGGATACACGGAGGAACACACACACAGGTCCACAGATCACAGAGGTATACAGACATCCACACAAACACACACATATTCATAGGTACACACACACACACACACACACGCCCAGAGGTAACAGAGGTATCTATAAACATGCACTTACCCCCCGACACACGTAAATAGACCTACAGAGGCCACACATGCACAATCTTCTAGAGGGGGTAAGGCATGTTTTCCAGTATACAGTGGAGTCTTTTCGTCTACCCAGCTGATGACCTTCAACTGGAGGGCGAGCAGCCCCATCTGGTCATTGACCTCCCTCTGCAATTCATTCCGGTAGAACAGATTGCAGGAGGACATCTAAAGGCTCCACTGGTCTGTCATCCCACTCTGCACAGTCCTAGGCCACTGCACAGGAGCATCTGTAAGCTGAGCACAACTCCTAAGTAGGAGTCTGTGAACCATCCACCTGCCGATCAGTGCTCTCCACTGCAACATTCAACCCCCGTCTCACCAAAGAGCTTCTGTAGGACTTGTCCGTCGTATAAATCTTCAGCCAGATCTTTCACGATGATTCTTTCTCCGACAAGCACATCATTAATCCAGTCAATTAATACCTACAGGGAGAGAGACCGAATAAGAGAAGAGTCACGGGTATTTTCTCAAAGATCAGCTTTCTTATCCCGGACAATTAAAATCTAAATGAACTTCAGACTTGGAAAGCAGCAGAACTGTCCATGTGACTCAGTAGATGGATACAAAGCAGTGTGAACTCTAGGGGCCCTGCTATTTTTCCTGTATAAGTGCTTCTAGTGCTGGTGACACCAGTGCCCCTGCTATTTTTTGGCCCCTTACCATTCCTTACCCCAATGGCAAGCGACATTCACACAGTGTTTGGGTGTGTGGCTAGTACCAGGCAATTGCGGTATTAACTCTGGAGTTACACAAACTGGGGTTAGTGACTGACTAACTGATTTTTGTAGCTCTATCATCTACGGACCTGTGTGTGTACCTGTGCCATTTAGGAATCTAAGGCAGGCTAGTTTCTGCTGAGCCTCTGATGGCCCACCTCTAAAATGGAGGAGGAAAAGACCTCCCACTTGAGGTAGCAGAAAAGAATCACATATGGCAAGGGCCAAATGTTCAATAAATCTTATGAATAAATATGAATATTATTATGAATAAATAAAGCTTTCCCCCATTTATTACATTTGGCCAGGTGTTACTATCACTCCTATGTTCAGGAGGGGAGATCAGACACAGAAGTGAACGTATTTGCCAAGGTCATGTTGCTGACTATGGACAGAGACCAGAACCGAACACTTGTCCGTCCCCTTTTAAGGGACTGTTCTCCTCCTGGCCCCAAACTACCTCTCCGTGGGGGCCAGTGCAGTCTCCTCTCTTGGCTCTCTCTCTCAGCGGCTGTCATTACCTGAGCATGCCCTGCCTCAAGCACCAAGCAGAGCCATTCCACGGGCATCTCCTTTAGTTAATCTGCACAACACCCATGAGAGGGAGGGAGTATTCGTTTCATTTTTCAGGTAAGGAAACTGAAGCTTGTTCAAGTCCGTTGCCTTTTATTTTAAATTTTTTCAGGTCATTTGTTTATTATTTTTATACAGTAAAATTAACTCATTTTAAAAGATACAGTTTGGTGAGTTTTGGTCATTGTACCCAGTTGTGTAACCACCACCACCACAACCAAGATGCAGAGCTGTTCCCGCAGCAGAGGAAGGTTCCTTTGTGCTCTTTGTGCTCGGTCAGTCCCCTTCCCTGAGGACAGGTGTCAGGCAACCACCATAATTTTGTAAAAATGGAATCACAAAGAACACCACCTTGTGTATTTGACTTCTTTGACTTAGCAGAAATAGATCGCCTCTATTACAGGGGCTGTAGCTGGGCTGGGTTTCCATACCTGGGGGAAGCCCGGGCCTTCACAGCACATTGTTCTATATTGTTCTACTGTTGGTAGGAGCTTCCCTCCTTACCCTTCCCCCCTCCCACCATCCAGCCATCCCCCACATATCCCCTACCCACCCACCCAGCATTTATGAATATGGGCTCCATGTCATAGTCTGTGCTGGATCCTGGGGTACAATGATGAAAAAAGAGGTGGTCTCTAACCCTGAGAAGCTCATCATTTAGGGAAGGAGATAGAGGTGTCTGAGTAGTGGTAACTAGTCATCAGGTGGTGACTCTAAGGGGACAATCTAAGGTTGAACAGGCAGCTAGAGCATGAGACCTCAAACACCACCCTCAGGAGCATGGGCCTCAACCTTCAGTTGGCAGGAATCTACACACATGGTTTGAACAGGAAAATGAGAGAGCTGATGCACATTTTGAACGAAGCACTTTGGCGTCCAGTGCCTTTTTGTCCTGTTTTGACTGCAGCTTGGAGAAGCTAATGAAGAAAAACACAGGATGGGGAATCCAAAGGGGGATGGCATGAACATTTTTTAGGGGATGACCACATGCGAGCCCCTCTGCCAGGCACAACGTACATGATGTAATTCAATCCTATCTACTTCTGTTTGAATTCCATCTCCTCTACTCAGCTGGGACCATAAACAAACCACTGGCTTTTCTAAGACTCACTTTCCTCACCTGTAAGTGGGGATGACATGAAGTCCTACTTTGCAGGGTGCCTTTGAGGGCCCGTGAGAAAAGCAGAAAGACTGTGTGAACCTGAAGATCATGGCAAATGTGAGCTCATTTGCACTAACTTCTCTGGCACTTATGATCCACACCATTCCTTGGGCAGCTGCCATGTGCCATTTTTGTTAAATTTGAGATGTCCACCTATGGGACCACGAGCTGCCCGTCCAGAGCAGGTGGTCTACAGATGCCTGTTGAGCCCAGGGTGGGGCAGGGCAGCTGACACCCCTCCTGATTTCTTCTTACCTTCATCAGTTCTTGCAGTTTGGGGTCGCTGCGGGAGTTTGGGTCCACCATTGTTCGCACTTCATTCTCCTCTTTAAAAGGAAAAGGCAGTCAGTGGGGGTGGCTCCGCTGGAAGGCATTAGGCTAACCCAGAGAACAAGAGACCCAGTTACCCAGCATGGTGTCCTCTGGGTCCAGCTCGAAGGGGATCGGGCTGAGAGGCAGGTTGATGGCGTTCATGCCTTCCTCCTGAAGCTCCGATACTGCAAGAAGACAGGCAGAGTCACACTGCAGCCCACTGGTGACGGGGAGGCGCTCTGTTACAAATGTGTTTGGGATGGACATTAATACATCCACTAAGGTTAGCTTATAGCTGTTACTCAGCCTGCAACAGATTCCCTGCCTCTCCTCATGAACAGGACCAAGTAGTCCCCTTCAGGTCACCTCTTCCGACTAACACCTCACTCCCTTTCCTCGGGGAAACAGGCCTCTGTCTGCTCCCAGACACGATCTTAGGATAACCCCAAGTGAGGTGGGCACTGACATCTTTCTGAGGTCTCTGCCTGTCACCTCCTGCCTGCCCCTCCTTCCAGGGCTTTCTATCTGGTGCACAGTGGGTGCCCGGTAACTCTTTGGGTGAACAAGGTCACCAAGTCAAGGCCACATTTATGTTGTAAGCCATTTCCACCCTTGGCGCAACCCTCCTTTGGCTTCTCTCCTTATTTGGCTTCCCTGAGTATTTTTCTGATTACCCTACCTTCTCTTTTCCCTCCACCCCACCCAGCCGCTGCTCCAGAACACCTCAGTCTGGCCTCTTTCTGGGCTCTGGTCCTGTCCCTTCAGCTCTAATGAGTAGGGGGCCCTGGGGGCCAGGCATCTCTGCGCTTAGGCCCATTTCCTCAGCTGAATGTCAAGAGTTCGACTGGATGGATGGCCAGTGAGTCCTTTTCAGTTTTCAAATCCTAGAAATCTACTATTCCACTTTCCTCAAGGAAAACAAAAAGAGGTCAATGGCCACTCAAGCCTTCCAGCCTGCCCCCCGCCATACGCAACCCCCCCCCCCATGAAGCCTCAGGGAAAAACAAATCCCTACCACAAAACCACTGTGTGATGGGCATTCGATGAGCACTGACCTTGGATCACCCCCCCCACGCCTAAAATCAGTGACTGAAATCTCCTCACCTCTATTCACTTCCAGTTTGGAGAATTACTTTTCACCAGTTAAGCACAGAAAGGCCATTTGCTCTGAAGGCACTGGTCACCAAAGGGCTCTCAAAGAGCTAATATGGCAGCAGCAATCAGCCTTAATAAAAGCAATGTCCCATCTTTCCATTTTTTTTTTTTTATGGAATCTGGCCTCCCTGACTGCCAGCATATAGTTGCAAGAACTCTTAAACACAAGGCAGTCACTTACAAAGAGTTCTTTCATATTAGCAAACTCACTGATGTTTGCAGTTGGACTGGGGACGAGATTGCCTAACAAAGAGAGTGAAACATACTCTACCCTAAAGAGACACAACTTGCATTATGAAGCTGGTATTTAGTCCCGTTGCTGTGGGCTCTTGACATTCATATGGGATATCAGCCAGTCACGGTCTTGAATCTGCAAATTCACAGACACCCACCACTCTATATAATTCCCCTCATAAAACATAACTGAAAAACATAAGCCACACCTTCAAGGCTAAAATGATCCTGATAAGCCTAGGATCACGTTTGCTTTCTAGTGAAAAACAATGGACTCCTGCAGTTTCGTGAGACTCTTACAATTTCTTCTAATATTCCTCCTAAGACTGGCAGTTCGCTTTCTTTTCCAGGCTGTTTCTCACAAAGAAGCAAGATTTCCACCACTGAACAAGCATTACTGTGCAAGCACTGGGCAGTGGAAGTCAAGTCACGCTTAAATGGTGGTGCGAGGCTGGGTGTACTGGCCGGTGAAAACACTAGCTCCTGCCCAGGACGTTCTCTACCTATGTCCCCACCCCCCAAGTCCCCCCTCCCCCCAGGTCTGCACTGTCAGTACAGTAGCTACCAGCCACACGTGGCTATTCACATTTAAATGAATTAAAAATTCGGTCTCTTAGTTGTACCAGTCACACTGCAAGTGCTCAGTGGCCCACACATGGCTACTGGCTAACATGCTGGACACCACAAATGTAATGATGTCCATCATTACAGGAAATTCATTCGGATGGTGTTGTCCTAGTTGACCCTATATCTCCAAATGCTGATGATGTCCACATCTAAATCTCCAGACAAGGCCTGACCCCGAACTCCAGGCTTACCCGATGTCTCCTCTTTGGTCTATTAATAGAGATCTCAAATGTATACATCCACAACAGAATGACTGTCTACACCCTCACCCCCACCATAACAACACTTAAACAAGACCATCATTCCCCTGTTCTTCTCTTCTTCAGTCAATGGCATCACCATTTATACAATGGTTTAAGCCAAAATCCAAAAAATCATCCTTAACTTCCCCTTCCTCATGTCTTGCATCTAATACATTGGCAAGTCTTGTGGCTCCACCTCTAGACCAGGATCCAATGCCAACCACTTCTCGCCATCTCCACCACCCCATCCTGGTTCAGGCCACCAGTATCTTTCACCTGGACAACCAGAACCACCTTCTAACTGGTCTACTGCTTTCTGATGCATTTTCCCCACCCCTGTCTACTTCCCACAGCACAGTCAGAATGATGTATAAGGATGTAAATAGCATCATACAATCTTCTGCTTTAAGCACTCCTGTGGCTTCCCATCATACTCAGAATAAAGCTCCAACTCCTTACTAATACCCACAAGGCCCTCTGATTAAGCCCCCTGCTCCCTCTCATGTTTTATTTTCTGCAGAGCACTCATCACAGTCTGAAATAATAATCATCCATGTCTGTTGTCTGCTTCCCCCCACCCCCCACCAGAAAATAAACTGTGAGAAGGCTGGTACTTTTTCTCCTTTGTTCACTATTAGATCCTCAAAGAGGAGCCAGAGTGCCTACATTCAAATCCATGATCTACTAGCTCCGTGACCTTGGGCAAGTTCATTATCTTCTTATACCTCAGTTTCCCCATCTGCAAAATGGGAGTGATAATATTACCCACCTCCTAGGGTCGTTGAGAAGGTTAAATGAGTTAATATATGTCAAGCACTTGGAAGAGTGCCTGGTACTTGGTAAGAATTGTGTAAATACATTATGTGGGGGCACCGGAGTGCCTTAGTCAGTTGAGCATCTGAATCACGATTTCTGCTCAGGTCATGATCTCAGGGTCGTGAGATGGAGCCGCACGTGGGGCTCTGCGCTCAGGGGGAGTCTGCTTCTCTTTCTACCCCTCTGCCCCTCCCCCTGCTCACATGCACACGCTCTCTCTAAAATAAATAATCTTTAAAAAATTAAAAAAAAAAACTACTTGTTGAGTAAATGAATAACCCAAACTGTTAAGACCACCGTTTGACTGTACAGGTTATGAACTGAGCCAGAATTTGCCAGAGCAGTGTACAGAATGCAAAGAAGGATTCTAGCTTGTTCTCAGGGGAAAAAAAAAATGTGTGCACATGTGTGTGCATATATGTGTGCTTATATTTTGTAAGGAGAGAAAAGCCGCATCTGTTCCAACACTGTTGTACAGCCTGAGCTAATCTGTGAATATAGAGATATTTACACCTCCAAAATGGGACTAGAAATGTAATATTTGCAGCAAGGACTCCTAAAGGTGGGTCTGAACAGGATCTTTTTTATGTGTACATCATCGTTAAAATGTTTTCAGATGAAAAAATCCCCAGTCAGAAACACTCCCCTCTGCCCTGCCTCTTTAATTCACTCACAGAGACATAACAAACCCTAGAAGAAAGGCTGAGATATGTTTGCAATTGGAAATGTTTTTTTTTTTTTTTTCAGGAAATGATTTGGTACAGGAACATCATTCCCATCCCATTAACTGCTGACTCTGAGCCAACTGTTTGTAAAAGTGAATATGCAAACTGCCCGGTTCAGGCCTAGCCCCCGCCCCATGGGGCCACATTAGTGGCCACTTTCCCAAAACAGCCCGCTTGCTTTGGAGACTTCATTTCTATTAAACCCAAGCAGGACCCAGCAGAAGCCCCTTGCCAATCCCTGTACTCTGAAAGAGAAAAGAGCTGCAATTGAATTTTCTCGGCACAGAATAGGAATATGATGTTTATCCCTTGAAACTCCTCTAACAATCTGAAACTAGGGCTGAATGTGCAGCCCTTGGTGTCTCACGGCGCCATTAGTCATAACTTAATAAACAGATTAAATGCCCAGCTGAAGGTCGAGCTCGAGAAAGCAGGGTGATTGCCTCAACTCCTGCCTGAAGTGCTCGCCGTCAGAGAGGGGGCTTTGGCTTTTCCGGGAAAGGCAGGCTGACTCTGGGTCCAGTGGTGCCGCAGAAAAAGTATACGAATGGGCTTTGGAGTTTAGAAGAGCTGGATTTGAATCCTACTTCTGTTTTTAGGCGGGACCTTACATAAGCAATCTAACCTCCCTGAAATTCAGTATAAAACAATTCTCTATAAAATAACGTTGTAGCTGACACTGCTGGTCTCCTTGCTAATATTTATTTTACTCTTTTTCCCTGCTGAGAAAACCCTCATTTTATTCCAGGGTACACTTCCCCTCCTAAGTTCCAGGGGAGATCCTGACTGGTTTAGGCTAATCACGATAATCTTAATTCCCTTGGTAGTGACCGACTCCAAGCATTGCCATGTGATACAACGAGTTGTGAGAAAACTTCTAGAAGCTTCTAACAATAGTTTTCCTCCATTTTAAAGAGAGGCCCAAAGAAGAGAAGGTATTTTTCTCCTTCTCATCATTATTGTATCAGGATGCTATGACTGGATTTGCTGCAGCCATTTTGTGAGCTAGCCCAAATCCAAAGAAGAAACTAATACGCTAAGATTGGCAGAGAAGAAAGAAAGGGGTTCTTGTTGATACTGTTAAGCCACCATCCCTGGAGCCACTCTAGCTTTGTGTGTCTTGTTATAAGAGATATAATAAGCTCCCTTATTGTTTAAGCCGGTAGAGTTGGCATTTTCTGGGGCTTGGAGCTCAAACTCCCTAATTAATACACAGGACACCAGGATTATAAAGTTGATAGATGAATAGCATAGGTCTACAATGAATGGTAATTTTCCTTTCCTTTTTTCCATGAGAAACAGAAGAGCTGCAGGCATCTCTTATACTTCAGAATAATACAGGGATTCAAAGAATACCACAGAGAAAACAACTATGGAGAGAAGAAT